CGATTTTTGCCTGACCACCCAAAGCGGTGATTAGTGAATAGTTCGTGTCTACTCGTAAATATCTGGACTTCACATTGCCTTTCTCCGAGCATATTATCGTATTGTCTGCGTAATGGCGGGACCTTTTGGACCTTTTGCGTTGCGATCGCACAAAGCTCTCTTGACTCGCTTTTCAAATAATTTGAATGAGGTGATATCGCAGTATGAGGAAGACAATTTTGCATGATGCCCAACCATTTACGAAAGAAATTTGCCAACGGGTATCACGCATTCTGGAGCAGCTGAAGGGAACATCTAATCTCGTTTTGAAGCAACTTGATAGCTTAGTGAAAACGGACACGCTCGGTGATTCATTGACCGAAAAACAAGAGGCGCAAGCAGCGGAGTACATGGATTGAACACAGGGGTAATCGACCGCGCGGAAACGCTTATAATACAACTTGAAACGCGAAATGCGATAGCTGCTGAGCGCGGATACATACGACTCCCCGCGACGCAGACCACAAACCTGCACCGCACAGGTGGAAATGGCGAGGCCAATACTTCCGGTTATTCCGGCTTCCGGCCTCCGGCTATAGCTCCTTATTGTATATAGATGCCTCGTCGCACTCAAAAAACAGTCCTTCCCTTTCTGTATCAAGGGCCATCCATACTCCCAGGATTGTTTGCGATGTTGCTACGCTTGTACGCAGCAAAGTTCGTTGCAACAGTAGATGTTGAAAAGGCATTTTTACGAGTCAATCCCAACGATGTGGTTAGGAACGCAACCAGATTTCTCTGGGTTCGCAATATCAGTCTTCCCTTAGAAAGAGGCAATATCATTACTTATCGCTTTATAATAATAACTCGTGCTGAATGTGTCACCATTTCTACTGGCAGGAACAATACTTATCATGTGCCACATCACACATCAAATGAAGAACTTGCAACGGATTTACGAAATAATCGTAGACAACTTGATCCTTCCCGTGAACACAGAAACCAAATTACAGCGAAAGGCTCAAGCTTCGCGACGCCTTTGAAGACATGGAGATAAACTTGCGGGACTATCTTTCCAACAGTCTTTGACTAAAGTCCTGAAGGACGAAGTCTGCGCTTAAAAACGAACGCAAAAGATGCTAGGAATTTCGTGGAACTCAGAAGAAGGTACTCTGCATAACAGATGCACAATACCGAGCTTGACATCAATAACAAAGCTCACACATCATATGGCATCAATCTATGACTCTCTAGGATGGTTAGTCCCGCTGATGATGAAGTTGAAAATATTTCAACAAAGTTTATGGA